GGCGGGGGCGCCGCACTGAGAGGTCTGGCTGGGTGACAGAGAGGAGGCGAAGCTGCTGGGCGGGGTGTGGGTGGGGGGTGTTGGGGGTCGGAGGCTCCCTGTGGAAGGGGCACTGGCCCCGAGCTGGGGCGAATGGAGGGGATAGGAGGGAGGGTCGTTGGGGGGAAGGGATGGGGAGAGGAGGAGGGGCATCCAGAGGGCTGTCAGGGGGGTTCTGAAGGGGGGGTCCCCAGTCTGTGCTAGCCCCAGGGGCTGCAAACAGTGCTGGGTCAGAGGGGTTGGAGAGCTCTTGTGCTCTGAGGGTCTGCAGGGGAGGAACCAGCGAGGAACTGGACTTCGTGGGAGGAGGAGACGGGGCTGGAGAGGAGAGAAGAGAGAAGTGGAGAGCAAAGGAGCAGGGGCCAGGCCAAGGGCTTCCTGCTGGGGGGAACCACGGAGGACCAGTCTTTCCTGGGGGATGGGAGCCAAGGGGAGACGAGGTTATTGGGAGGGAGCAGAAGGGAAGGTGCCAAGGTGTTCGAGGCAGAGATGGGTCTGTGCTGGTGGAGAGCTGGGAAGATGGGGGGCCTGAGGGAGAGGAGCGGAAGCTTGCGGGGGGGTGGGGGAAGGCTGGGGGTTATAAAAGAGGGAGACTGGGAAATCAGTAGGAGGGGGCTTGTGCTGAGGTGGGAATGTGCTGGGGGTGGCGACAGGGTTCTGGTCAGAGAGTGCTGCAGGGGGAGAGAAAGCTGCAGGGCCCTGGGCTTGCTCCCCCACCCCTAAAGAGGAGGGGACATTTCTCATGTCCCAGCCTCTTCCCCCAGCTGAAGGATGGGTCTGTCCTGGGTTCTTTGGGCTGGGGCATGAGCCCTTGAACCCTTGATGGGCTCTTGGAGGCACAATTGGCTTTCGGGGGCTGTTGTCTCCTTTATTCTCACTCCCTTCCTGAATCCTGGGAGAGGATATTTGGTGCCTCATTGAACCAGCAAAGGCTAGGAGGGGGCTGTTTCTTGGTGCCTGGAGGTGAAGGGGGAGGCTGTCCAGACCTGGAGTGATGAAATAAATCTTATGGGGTGGGTCTTGGGCCTC